TCAAAAGGTTTTTTTTTTTTTTGGGGGGGGGGGGGGGGGGGGCAACTGTTCGGGTTAAGATTGCAAAATTTGAGGTTTTTAAAAGTTATGTTTTGGGACAATTTCATAGAAATAGAGTATGATCAATTGGGTGTACAAACTATTGTCTGGGAGGCTCCTTTCCCACCCCAAGAATTGGGCTAACTTGCATCACTCCCAATTCGACTACCACTTAACCAATGTTGATCCAGAATCGCAACCAGGTTGGGAATTTCAAATATTCCAAAATTTGCAAACTTTACAAATGCTTGGAAGAATGGACTTAATGCTTCGGGACATAGTACACATCCTGTTCCCCAGTTTTCAGGAATCATAACTTATCGAAAAGTTAGTTAGAAATCTCATTGGAAAAGTTAACTCAGTGAAATTGGAGGTGTGGCAGGAAATTTCAACACATAATAATGTCAAAAAACAAATTCAGGGTGATAAATTAAATAAACATCAGAAAAAAATTGGACTTGCCCACAAAACATTTCGGGTCACTCCATGTTCCACCATTCAAACAGACAGATTTCGCAAAAAATGGTGTTTGGTAACCCGTGCAGTTGTAGTCAATTTCTTCGTCTACTAAATATGTTTGTTTTGATGTCATGGGTATAGCGTAGGGCGATGTTTGTGTTGGTGCTTCACATCCTAGTACCCCTCCTTAAAAAGGCAAACATACCAATACGTAGATTACGATATGATATACAGTTATCACGATACATACCGATAAACAGTTCTCACGATACATACGATATACAGTTTTCACGATACATACAATGAACAGTTATTACGATACATACGATATACAATCATCACGATACATACGATATACAATCATCACGATACATACGATATACAATCATCACGATACATACGATATAAAATTATCATGATACATACAATGAACAGTTATTACGATACATACGATATACAGTTATTACGATACATACGATATACAATCATCACGATACATACGATATAAAATCATCACGATACATACGATATAAAATTATCATGATACATACAATGAACAGTTATCACGATACATACGATATACAATCATCACGATACATACGATATAAAATTATCATGATACATACAATGAACAGTTATTACGATACATACGATATACAATCATCACGATACATACGATATACAATCATCACGATACATACGATATACAATCATCACGATACATCCGATATAAAATTATCATGATACATACGATTAACAGTGATCACGATACATACGATATAATAATCTTTATTCACGAAACAGTCAAATGAGAGGAAAAATATTTGAGGTTGCCCGATTTTATAGCCTAGTTATGAGAGCCTGGCCCGAAAAACTTGCATTCGGGGCTGCTTCCCCCTCTCTGGTTCCGCCATCGGATACAATGGTGTTAATAGAATGACTTCCAATGTTTGCAAGAGGAGTATCTCCCTAACCATTGTCGTTATTTTAAGCTTGTTGAGAAGAGTTCAGTCCTAGTTAGAGGTAAATTGGGTAACACAAATTTGATTTAATCACTATATGATAAGAATTGAGTAGTGTTCTAGAATAGAAAGACTCCAATGCATGAATCATTCCATATCATTTTGTTGTTGTTGCAATAACGAAGAGCTTTTCAATCCTTTACGTACCTTGTTGACACTGATACGGACTCCAGTTCTTGTCCGATAAACATGTCGACGACTCATTGGTGTTACCACAATCATAATATATCACATCGCCCTCTAAATAGTTCGAGGGTGGGATAACCAGGTCTACTTGAGAAGGCTCACCACAATCTAGATAAAATAAATAATATGAAATTATATCAAAGTACACGACTACTTACTAATCAATTAAAATATCGATGTCCATTATTTTAATGATTGAACATTATTTCATAGACATTAACTAACGTTTTTTAAGCGTATTGCACATTAAACCAACAAGCGTATAAAATAGCATTCTGCATTTTCCCTTTGTCCGATGGGATGGGTTTACAGGAGTTTCACTGTATTAACTATAGCATAAGAAGTGAAGTGAAGAGCAAGATCGACCAAACTTTCGTTACTAAGAGCAAGACCGACTGAACTTACGTTAACAAGAGCAAAGACCGACTGAAATGACGTTAACAAGAGCAGGGCCGACTGAAATGACGTTAACAAGAGCAAGACCGACTGAACTTACGTTACTAAGAGCAGGACCGACAGAACTTACGTTACTAAGAGCAAGACCGACTGAACTTACGTTACTAAGAGCAGGACCGACAGAACTTACGTTACTAAGAGCAAGACCGACTGAACTTACGTTACTAAGAGCAGGAACGACTGAAATGACGTTAACAAGAGCAGGACCGACTGAAATGACGTTAACAAGAGCAAGACCGACTGAACTTACGTTACTAAGAGCAGGACCGACAGAACTTACGTTACTAAGAGCAAGACCGACTGAACTTACGTTACTAAGAGTAAGACCGACTGAACTCTTGTTAACAAGAGCAAGACCGACTGAAATGACGTTAACAAGAGCGGGACCGACTGAACTTACGTTACTAAGAGCAGGACCGACTGAACTTACGTTACCAAGATAAGGGCCGACTGAACTTACGTTACTAAGAGCAGGACCGACTGAACTTACGTTACTAAGAGCAGGACCGACAGAACTTACGTTACTAAGAGCAGGACCGACTGAACTTACGTTCACAAGAGCAGGACCGACAGAACTTACGTTACTAAGAGCAGGACCGACTGAACTTACCTTACTAAGAGCAGGACCGACAGAACTTACGTTACTAAGAGCAGGAGCGACAGAACTTACGTTCACAAGAGCAGGGCCAACTGAACTTACGTTACTAAGAGCAGGGCCGACTGAACTTACGTTACTAAGAGCAAGACCGACAGAACTTACGCTACTAAGAGCAGGACCGACAGAACTTACGTTACTAAGAGCAGGATCGACAGAACTTACGTTCACAAGAGCAGGATCGACTGAAATGACGTTAACAAGAGCAGGACCGACTGAAATGACGTTAACAAGAGCAGGACCGACTGAACTTACGTTACTAAGAGCAAAACCGACCGAACTCTTGTTAACAAGAGCAAGACCGACTGAAATAACGTTAACAAGAGCAGGGCCGACTGAACTTACGTTACTAAGAGCAAGACCGACTGAACTAACGTTACTAAGAGCAGGACCGATTGAACTTACGTTAACAAGAGCAAGACCGACTGAACTGGCGTTAACAAGAGCAGGGCCGACTGAAATGACGTTAACAAGAGCAAGACCGACTGAAATGACGTTACTAAGAGCAAGACCGACTGAACTTACGTTACTAAGAGCAAGACCGACTGAACTCTTGTTAACAAGAGCAAGACCGACTGAAATGACGTTAAGAAGAGCAAGACCGACTGAAATGACGTTAACAAGAGCAGGACCGACTGAACTTACGTTACTAAGAGCAGGACCGACTGAACTTACGTTACTAAGAGCAAGACCGACTGAACTTACGTTACTAAGAGTAAGACCGACTGAACTCTTGTTAACAAGAGCAAGACCGACTGAACTCTTGTTAACAAGAGCAAGACCGACTGAAATGACGTTAAGAAGAGCAAGACCGACTGAAATGACGTTAACAAGAGCAGGACCGACTGAACTTACGTTACTAAGAGCAGGACCGACTGAACTCTTGTTAACAAGAGCAAGACCGACTGAAATGACGTTAAGAAGAGCAAGACCGACTGAAATGACGTTAACAAGAGCAAGACCGACTGAAATGACGTTACTAAGAGCAAGACCGACTGAACTCTTGTTAACAAGAGCAAGACAGACTGAAATGACGTTAAGAAGAGCAAGACCGACTGAAATGACGTTAACAAGAGCAGGACCGACAGAACTTACGTTTACTAAGAGCAGGACCGACTGAACTTAC